TTTATTTGTTGGGCTAATGCCTACTCTGCTGAGTTCGGGAAATATCAGTTCAGGAACTGAGAGCCATTAGGATAGAAACCTCTTCAACAGCCTTGTGAAGCTGAGTGAAATTGCTTCTGATATTAAGATATTTTTTAAAAAGAGAGTCAAGACTGCTTGCTTAAACAGGGAAAACAAAAACAAAAAAGAAACTTTCAGGGGAAAATAACTTTATGGAAAAGGCGTAAATGCCATGAAACAGTTCTTGATATAACTCCTAGTGGCCTCTCCCAAAGTAAGGCAGACAACAGCTATGGTTCTTTGCCTGTGTGTGTGTGTGTGTGTGTGTGTGTGTGTGTGTGTGTGTGTGTGGTTAACATGATCTCCAGAGATCATGGGAGGCCCACTGTGAGAAAGAACACTAGGAAGTGCCTGTGCCAGCCCCTGCACCTCAAAGTCACAAGGGAGGTGATCAGATAGGAGGGAGGGAAGGAGAGAGAAAAGCCAATTGAAATAGAGAGAGCCTGTGGGTTCCCGGGTGGTCAACAAGGAGTCTTCTTTCAGTGGTAGGATTAGTGCGTGCAATACCGTTCGAAGGTCAATATATCTACAAAGTATCCTATAATGACCTTCAGGAAAATGATTATGGTTGTTACGTGACGCCACACAGGAGTGCCCTGCACACACGCACACAGGCAGCGGCATGGGTGACGGCATCCTTACAATGGCAAACCCCTGCTGTGGTCTGGGCTGCAGACAGCCTTCTGGTCTCTGTGTTGTCACAACTTGTTTCTTTAAGAATTTCATGCACCCTCCCTTGGCTCCTCCATGTTACTTATCTTCTCTGTGTCTGTGCCTCGTAGTATGCTTGTCCTGTACTGTACAGCTAAAATCCACTTATAAGCGAGGAGCCTTGTAGAAAAGTGGGAGGAAAGAGAAATGGACCTGGAGGTGACAGGAGCTCCACAAAAAGACCAGCGGAACCAACTAAGCAGAGGGGCTTGTTGAGACTTGAAGTATCAACCAAGGTCCATGCATGAACTGGACCTAGCCCCCCTACACAGATGTAGCAGATGGGCAGCTTAGGCTTCGTGTGGGTTCCCTAGTAAAGTGGGGGCTGCATCTGACAGGAACTCACTTGCAGCTTTTTGATCACTTCCCCTGGCAGGACTGCCTTGCCAGGCCACAGAGGAAGAAACTTGATGAGCTGGGGTGGATGGGAAAGGGGGCTCCCTTTTCTGAAGGAAAGGGGAGAGGGAGAGAGGAAGGGAGGAACCGAAAGACTGACACAAGCTAATGTGAGGTGACCTATAAAGCCACCTGGGGCCCGGATGCTCCTTAAACTTATTATATAAGGTCATACTTATTGTAATGCCCGTGGTAGGGGGAGAAGCCCAGAACAGTGAGGGCTGTCCCTGCATTATAATGTCATGAGGCCGGTATCTGATACACTGAACTTGACTTTTATAACTTAAGTGAGTATGGTCCAAACCCGTTACTATCAAGAAGGACCCCTTTGTCAGCTAGATGACAATAGCATAGTGTTTAGTTATGAGCCTACTAACTACTCTTGTTCTCATGGGAGTATTTAAGACTGCCTGGAATTAAAGGAAAACATTCAGATCTTTTTATCTATTGTGCTATGAACTTCAAGACATCAGTAGTGCAGCTTTCTCTGTAATGAGCGGCAGGTAACATGCCTTCATTATTTTATATTCAACTCTATATTCATTTTATACCTTAATAACAATAATGTAAATACTTAAGTAATTATATATGCTATATATTTTATGAAGTAATTTTTTTCATTCCACAGCACAGAAGTGTTAACTCACTTAAAGACTGAAATATTCCAAAGAATTTTTTGTTTTAAATATGTTCTGTGAGGATCCATATTTATTAGGCAAATAATCTATCTTAAAAAGTTTAGGTTCCTATTTATTTTCTTAATTTAAGCCAAACCTTGCCTGCAAATGACACACAGATATGCAATTTTAAAAACAATTTAGCTTCGATATTTCAGCTATAATCTGTCGCATGCTGTGTGTCACGTCTGTCCTGAATAATTTATACTCCCCCAGTAATTCTAATGGATCATTATTATACCCTTATTAATAAAGTTTTACAAACCTAGGTTTTAGTCAGTTAAGGGGCTTGCCTGGTGCTTCTGTGAGATACAAACGTGGGTCTGAAGCGACTATTCCTCGCCCAGCATCATCTGCAGGTATTTTGTGCATCCCTCTGGAAGAGATGTTACCTGAAAGCATCTCAGAGGTGACTGTGGGGCTATGGGGGGGATGGTGATGGTGCACAGATAGCATTTGAGCTATCTGTGTTACAGGCAAACGGTAGGCAGGCAGACAAGAGGGCTGGGGGCACATAGATTCCATCCAATGGGTTTATTTTCTAGAGGAAAAAAAACCTTCAAGGTCCATCTCATCTACCTTGAGGATGGTTTTATATATTGAAGAGAATAATAATAACGTAGAAATTGTGAATCCAGCCCCCAGTGCTCTACAGAACAACCATCTCTCTGACATAATCTCCAAGATGAGCCCTGGGGAGTGGAACAGCACTGGGTCCTGGCAGTGTGATCGGAGCCTGTCAGGTAGTGCTTGGGGTGAAGGCACAGCCCCACAGCCAAGAGTGAGGTCAGGAGGTACAAGGTTCTCCCAGCTCCTGACAGTCTGCAGCTGCCTGGTCCTTCCTGTTTCCCCACATGCTGACAGGAGGGATTTTCTGTTCTATTTCGTGTTTATACAGAACCTCCACCTTGGCTCCCTGTTACTCCTTTACCAGTCACAACTCACAGAGATGCTTGGAGAGGAGGAAAAAACTGGACTGGACTGAATTTTAAACCAGTATAAAGCGGGAGCTCATTCCTGCCTTTGGCTTAAGATCAATCACAGCTGCAGAACCAGCCAGCTTCGGCTCCTGCCTCCTTCTCTGTAGAATGGAAAGAACTATACTGTCTCTTCATGGAAATGCTTGAAGTGACAAGATCAAAATAACCGGGCTGTTCCACATCACAGGTGTGAAAGGCAAACACTGATGACTAGCCCATTGGGCAGTCATCTGTTCAAGGTTGTTTACAGCTGTTTTCATGGTGAATCCATATATGAACACACCTTGCTTAAGAAAATGTTGCAGGTTTGTGTCTCTGTAGCTACAATTATCTTCTGGGGCTCTTTCTTTCTTTTTAAAGATTTATTTGCTTTTATTTCCTGTGTATGTGGGATTGCCTGAGGGTATGTATGAGCACCAAGTGTATGCCTGGCTTGTCACTGGTAGAGATCAGAAGAGGGAATCAAATCCCCTAGAACTGGAGTCGTAGGTGGTTTTGAGTTCTGGGAAACAAACTCACACCCTTGCAAGAGCAGCAAGGCTGAGCCATCTCTCCAGCCCCACTAGGGCTTTTTCAAGGAGCAAAAATCTGCTTCAACTACAAAGGGTTGGTCAGATAGAAGCCCAAAGGGACCCTCAATGCGAACAAGTCTGCATACGTCAAAGGTGCCTTTGGCCCTACGCAAAACCAATTCTTTGTCTGGAATACAGATGAAATGATCAAAATTCAGTGCTTGATCTTCATCTAAGCACTGAGGCCTCAGCCCCGAGCAAACTTTCTAGCCCCCTGTGTATCTTCCTCTTCCTCTCCCTTGTCCTTGATTGATGTGTTGCCTAAAGGAGATGGTGATTTCACTCAAAAGAGAGATGGAAACTAAATGTCTATACTATACTTGGCCCAGCTCCCGACAGATGTCATGCGATTCATAAGCAAAGACAGCAGTGGTCAATAAAATGTGATAACATGGTTATCCAAAGAAACTTCCAGCTCTCCCTCCACCCCTCTCCCATCCCTACTCACCCCAGGGGGGGTCCATCTGCAGCAGAAAATGTGAAGGCACTAGGACCAGAGAGCCCTTTCCTGCTACTCGCTTGAGAAACAAAGCCTTCCCTCCTCCCAAGTTGAAAGAAATAAAGGAGAGTAGCCTAATGGAAGCCTGCTGGTGGAGCTCCGGCTTGTCAGTGATGCGACTCAGCAGGGAGAGTAACGGCTCCGAGCTTTGCAGAACATTGACAGAGGGAGAGAAACGGAAACAGAGACAAAGAGAGAGAAAGAAAGGCATTAACCTGGCCAGGAGTCAAACAGGTGCTTGGGGCCCAAACACTGACACAAGATGACACGAAATACAGTGGCTTGTGCGGTCCTGTGGAGTTATGGCTGATTATGAATGTGATCGGGGGTGTACATCAGAGTGAGCAGAGAGGTTGTTTCCCTTATTTATGGGACTCATATGGCCGGGTGAGGCCCTCAGCTTCTCTCTGCATGTCTATCTGAAGCCTTTACTGAAACTTTCTGGCTCCCTCTTGCTAAATTCTGCAGGATGGAAAAGAGGATGGCCAGGTCTTTTCAGGCACCCACAGGCCTTCACCATGATCCACAAGCTTTGGGCGTCTTTGGTGTCATGGATTTGTGAGCACGGGGGCTGTCATGTAGGGTGACAGTGTGCCTCCATCTTGAGCTTCCTCGTGTTGCCTTTCAAAGTTCCTCTGGGCCTCACTGTGCTGTGAAAGACTAGGTCTCTCTTATAGGTACCCTAAGCTTGAAGGTGATCTCCCTTGGAACTGGTGGAGCTCGGGCATTAGGAATGAAGTTGTGGTGCCATCAGTCTGTACTTTGTCTTACAAGCAGAGGAAGGCCTGGCATTTTTTCCCTGGGGGGAGAAGGCCCCAGGAAGACAGCACCCCTCAAATGGGATACAATTCGAGCAGGACACTAACTGGGCAACACTAAAGATTGTCTTAAGTAAAATGTGCCGTCTCTAATGGATTTTCATCTCTTGAATTAAAAATGTTCGAGTGTTTGAAAGCCCTGTAAACTCAGAAGACTGGTTGCCTAGTGCCACCTGTCTCTGATAGACAGTGGCTGTGAGCATAGATAAGCCAGGCTTGTTCCATCCCCACCCCGCACCCCCAGCCCCCGTGCAGGGGTGGGCTTCTAGTTAAAGCTTGGTCTTTACCTGAAATACGCCTGGGCACGTCGGTGATGGCAGGTAGCCCAGTGCCCCGCGTGGAAGACAGCGGCGTGGTGGAGTGGATGGATGGGGATGTCATCTGGCTCAGGTAAGAAGGATAAGACTGGTCATAGGACCATGGTGGGGAAGATTGTGCCTGCCTGGGATCTGGGGGTGGGGGAAGGGAAAGATGAAAAACAAAAACAGTTCAGTATTTCAGCTCCCAGCCTTAGAAACATGCAGCCCCAGAACTTAGACACAGCACAGACGAAAAAAAATGAGACTATAAAATAAATAATAATAATGAATATCTCCCATGACCTTTCCCTTTTAGGCCTCAAATAGCTGAGAGCTCTGTAGACTTGATGTCTCAATGAACGCAACAAAATGGGTGAGCATGAGGCCCATTTGTCTCTCTTATACATAAATATTTCTACTTGGAAAGTCTAGTGGCCATTTAGAAAACAATCCACTTTGCTTATTTTTATAAAGTAGAATTTATTTTATTTATTCTCTGTATTTTCAAAATTCCTTCCCTGAACACTCTAAATTATATATATATATATTTTTCTGTCAATTAACTTGTATAACTTTACAAAAAGATATAGACCACATTTTTCACTGTTGCTTATCTGGCTTCTGTGATTCAGGGGTGCTTCTTTGGTCTGAAAATGCCTGATTCTGTGCTTCCCTTATGGTGGGCTTTCTTTCTGGGAGGGTCAATGAAATGGCATTTTCTAATGGGGGAGTCAAAGGATAAAGATAGGATGAAAACGGAGGAGGCAGCATGCATACAGATGAGAAAGGAAGGAAGCAGGATACATTATCTAATGTAGAAAGCTAAAACAGAAAACAACCTTTGAGAAAGGACAGAAGTCAATTTTAAAACCAACTATGATTGAATGCTGAAAATCTACACTGCCATCCAGGTTCAAAGTGAGTTCCTGACAGCAAGAAGATGATCCCAAACAGAATAGGGAAATGCTTTAATCCCACTGAAATCTCGTCTTTAAAAAGTGTCATGTGCTAGGGCTGTGGCTTCACGTTCTTCAGAGGCACTGATAATAAAAGTGGGGGGGGGGGGCAGAAAACCGATCAAGGTTAACTGCAGAGAGCTGACAATGTCTTTGACATTTCTCCACTGGGGTTCTGAAAGGTGGATATTCAAAGCCAAGAAGTTTATTAAAAGGCCATCACCATTTGCATAAGAAAAGAGAGGGCAATTTTGCTTTGTTTCCTTTTTCCCTCTTTGATCCTATGCTACCTGGTTATTTCCCAGGTGTCACCTGTTCAAGTACTAACTAGGCCCAGCTGTACAGAACCTCCTGGATCAGGTGAAACTGAGTGTGTTCAGGGTGCTTTGGGCAGAGATAAGTAGGTAAATTTGTTACTATTCCCAATATAAAGACTGTGCACTGTTTTAATCTTACTCAGAAGCTAAGTAACAGGATCATAATCAAATTTCACATAATTGTTTTTATTTCATAACTTAAAATTTTTGTGCTTATTTTAAAAATTAACTAACTTGGCTTTTTTTTTTATTTCAGGGCAGTTGGTATATTTGAATGTAGACAGGCTTTGGAATGTTTAGAACTGGGTCAGAATTAGCTTTGAGAGAGAATTTCCACACTCTCCTTGGCCTTGACCACACAGAGCCTAGGTGTGCTCATCCATAAAGAGACTATTATAAAGACCTGATCATGGGAATGTGAGATCACATGAAAAAACTATTTAGGAGAACACTACACAGAAGACTTTCAGCACATATCCGCCCATTATTTTAAGATTAATTCTTAAATGGTGTGTGTGTGTGTGTATGTGAGTATGTGTGTGTGTGTGTATGTGAGTATGTGTGTGTGTGTGTGTGTATGTGTGTTCACATGAGAGCAGGTGTCTGCATGGTCCAGAAGAGGGCATCGGATCTCCTAGAGCTGAGATTTCAGGAGGATGGAAAGCCATCCAATGTGAGTGCTGGGCACTAGACCCCTACACCTCTAAAGTGCAGTGCATACCCTCGTCTGTGAGCCATTTCTCCACCCCTCATTCTTAGCATTCTTTTCTTAAAACAGAACTAAAACAACAACAAAAAACCACTCATGGTTGTTCCCTATGTAAAGCACATCAGAAGTAGAGTGCATTAGGGGCAGGTATAAACTTCTCCCATTGACTCTTAGTCTTAGAAAATGAACAGTGAAATTAAAAGAAAATCTGAACAGTCAATTTTAGGTTTATTTCTCAAAATAAAAAGGAGTACATAATAAGACATGGATTTTTCCTAGGCTATTTCCTCTTTTAAAGCCTCTTAGGTTTTTTTTTTTTTTTTTTTTTTTTTCTATGCAGTGAAGCTGTTGAGTTTCAGCTATTCCTTGTTTATTTGTTCAGTTTGGAAACAATTTATTTAAAGATTATCTAAATAGGACATACTTCCTTGAGTGGAAATAATTAAATACATCTGGATATTTATCTGAAGTTTACTGACATTAATAGATACGGAAAGGGGGACACCCAATTCAAGTTTAAGGACCATTTACCTGAGTTTGCAATTCAAGAAGAGAGTAGTACTGTTCTAACATAAACTTTCCATCAGAAAGCTAAAAGATACTTGATGATTAAAAATAATGAATCTCTATGCTTTAAAACTCCCAAGGTTGAGATTACGCAGATTGGCAGCCCTTCAACCTCGAGTGACTGGTCCTTGTTATCCACAGATACTGACACACTTCCTCGCCTCCCACCACAAATGCGAGTTACTATTTAGAGAGATGGAAATCATCTTCAGATGGAGAGGGGCTGGTTCCTTAAAGAGCAGGAGAACTGTCTCGGAAAGGCCGGGACAGGACTCAAGCACACTCTCGACAGATGAAAGGGACAGCCACCACATGGCTACAAGAGGGGGTTCTGCAGGAACAGAAGTTGGATTTACAGAGTCTAGATTTAACCACACCGGACCGTTTCCTCAGCAAGTGGTCTGACCTGTGTATCCAGTCCTCAAGGGCGACAGTGAGTTAGCATAATAGTCCTCCTCACCTAAACTGGGAGGGGGAGGGGGGAACTACAACAAAATGCAGGGGATGACTGTAATAATTAAACATATCACAAAGGGACTAAGGGTCCCTGGTTGTGACATGCAGCCTTAGTCATTCTCCTTGTGCTGAGAGACAGCCCAGTACAGTGGGAAATGAACTGTCCTTCTAATGAGACAATGTGGGTGGGAGGGACAGTCCACTATTTATAAGTTATATGACATCAGCTAGATGAGCAGACTTCAGTTTCCTTGTCTGGAAGTAGCATGCTGAGGCAAATGAAGACAAAGGGAGTGGAGGTTTACAGCTCCCCACTGTGATGAGTAGGTCATGTAAACTCTTAGCCCCAGTGGTTTATCTGTAAAATGGGAGTAATGATTCTGATTGGGTTTCATGAGCATAGCAGGAACTATGCCAGATCTGATACTTTATCTGCCTCTCCGGGTACCTATTAAGCAGATAAGAGGTGCTAGCTATAAAATGAATACAATCATAACTACTGTTGTGTTTGGAAAACCAGATGAAAATAAAGCATTTTGATAACTTTTAAGATCGATGTGAAAACCATTATTTTGCTATTACAGCTCATGAGGGCAGGTTCTACCTAATGACCTGGGATGTCTTTCTTAGGGCTTCTCACCTTAAATGAAGATGGCACTATCATCTCTGTGTTAAAGCCCTCACAGCCAAAATCAAATAATACACAGTGAAGGGCAAATCGGCATCATTATCAAAGGAATAAAAATCTGACTCTACCACTCTCTGGACTATCTGAGTTGGCGTGCAGCTATTAAATATTTCTGAGATCAGATGGTATAATTAAATGTACGCCTTAAGCATACAAGCCACTCAACAGTGAACTTCCAGGTGGCTTGAATAAATACCAGAATGATAAAATGTTGTGATCAATCATTCTAAAACTCTCTTTAGCTATGAAAGAGTTATTATACCGAGGAAGTTTCACATAAAATTTCAGCCTGCCAGATCTCAACTAGGATGGTTCGTTAAAGAACAACATTGTTTTCAGTGGAGGCCTTTCCCAAAAATGTTCTCACTAACACCAAACAAGGGAAGGGTGCTTTGTCCTTTGTCACTGAGATGATTGGCTATTGCCCAGCCAATCTCTCTCAAGGTCAGTCCTCGTCTTAAAATTGTATGACAATGGCGGCGGGGACAGGAGAAAGACTAAAGAAGAATACATTGTAAGAAGTACCGTGGTGTACCCACTAGACTGAGTATGAGGAGCAATGACCTTATCTGAAAGGGAGTGTGCTGAGCAGCCCCCACCGCCACCCAGGCCTTACCTAACTCTAGGTGAATGAGCGAACAGACCATTGATCTCATGGATGCCAATCCTAGGTCACTGGCTGGACAAAGGACACGCCTGTCTAAGCTTCAATTTCATCAGCAACTTACGGAGAAACAAAACATCTCCTTTTCAAACTTGTGAAGATTGAGAGAGTATGTGTGTGTAACAGAGCCCAGCATGTGGTCAGACTGCATCTGTGCTCATTGCGCAGATGTCCTAAATCAACCATCTTTAACACTGACCCTGTTTCCTTCTTGAACTTGGTTTCATCTCAGAAAGAGAAAGTCCGTGCTTTCAAATAGGATAGCCTCCAATTTTCCAGTCTTGTGGTGGGAGGAAAATGGCTAAAATATTTGTTTCCTAAGAGTGCGTAAACTTAATTATTGTTACGATGTATGTGTGTATGTATATGTGTGTATGTGCATATGTATGGGCGTATGTTGTATGTGTGTATATATGTGTATGTGTACATGTGTGTTTGTATATGTACATGTGTGTATGTGTTTTTGTATGTTTATATGTTTCTGTATGTGTGTGTACAGTTGTTAGTGGAGTGGAGATAAGTCACTTAACCAGATCTCATAAAAGCTTTCTGAACTGTACTTCCTGAAGAAACCTGAGCCTTCTGAGATTCACTCTGACCTCAGGTGAGTCAGAGCAGGTAGGGCTAGAGTCACAATACAGGACAATACAGGACCTAACTGTGCAACAGACCTTAGGAGTCACCATGAATCAGCTCAGCCTTGCGTTCCTTTGCTTAAACCCACTGCAGCCACATGGTATGGCTTATTTTCTGGGTCTTCAAAACAGGAAGAAAGCATCAGGAGCTGTGACTC